TGTTTATATTTTGACTGGAAATGTATTCATGGTTGAGCTATAAAAGATGTCATTATTACATTTCTCCTTTATATAACTTTTGAATAGAGTTAATAGTTGGCTTATTTTTTAAATTTTTAGTATCCATTGTGGTCATCTATATGCTCTCCAGCAGAGATATGCAGATATGAGTTATTTATTCTGTCACTTTTTTTTTTTTTTCCTTAAATCATCTACCCCACAGTCACTCTTCATTCTAATTTAGGTTAGCTATTCTTGTTTCTCAGGAATACTTACCTTAAAGTTTCCTTTCTCAATGATGAGGGCATTCTTTTTGTATCTGTATTTTTTTGTATCTGTATTTTGTATCTGTATCATTCTATTTGTATTTTGTGTTTTGAGCTTTTATTCCTAAATTCATTATGTATGTATGTATTTTTTAGTACAGGGTCTCACTGTGTAGATCTGACTCATAGTGATCCTCCTGTTTTCAGTCTCCCAAGCGCTAGGATTACAGCTGCATCCACCATGCCCAGTCTCAGTAGTAGTCTCAGTGTGCTCTGGGAGAGTGGAGCCAGCACAGCTTGTGGTGCCCGGGATCAAACTCTGGTCCCTGGGCTCTACCTAAGCAGGAGCTTTAGTCCAATGACCTTCTGGCTGGCTCTGTATTTCTTTTTCTTGGCTTATTCCTTTGCTTTGGTGTAGCAGATTCTCCAGTTACTTCATAAGAAAACAAGACATGGGTGATGACCATTTTGAGATGCTGCATATTTTCCTCTACCCACTCGGTTTTTAGTTTATTTAGGGGATAGAATTTTAAATTGGAAATCATTACTCAAAATTTCAAAAGCATAGTTCCATTGCTTCCCATCTACCAGTGTTGTTACAAGTGAGTATTTTGTTGTCATTCTGATTCTTGATCTTTTATTATAAGTGGTGACTTCTTTTTTGGATGCTTTTTTCTTTACTTAAATACTTTGTGGTTATTTATTTATTTATTTATTTAATTTCCTTTTTGTGATATGCCTCAATGTAGTTTACTTTAAACTAGTGCTTTCCAGTTCTGGAAAACAGTCTGGAATTATATTTTAGTTCTTTATTTTATTTTTTTCCTGAAGGCCTCATTATTTGAACCAAGGGCTCTTGCACTGATTCTGTGGTTTTTTTCTTTTTCTTTTTCTTTTTCTTTTTTTCTTTTTTTTTTTTTTTTTTTTTGGTTTTGTTTTGTCTTTTCTATTTGGGAAGATTTTGTGTGACTTCTTCCACTTTATCTTTGAATTCATCTTTTTTTCCCCTTTTCTCAGTTGTCCTATTTTTAGCTTTCAGATGCTATTTTGGTTTTTCTTAAAATGTTTATTGTATGGTTTTTTTTATTGTTTTTTTTTTATTGTATGGTATTAGAGTTTTATGTTTGTATGTGTTCCCTACATACACTCACCCTTACTGCCTAAGTTAACTCTTGTTTCATTCTAAATAGTTGTATTTTATCTTCTATGTATGGAGAGCAAATGTGCTGACTTTGTAGAATAGAACATGGGAAGGAGGCTGTCTCTTCATTTAGTCTGTACTCTTGGAAATAATCTCTTCTGTGTCCTTAAATGTGCCGTATGCACTTCAGTCTGCAGTGTTCCTGGCTCACCATTCCAAGAGAGTAAATTTGGTGTTATAATGTCAATAAAGACAAACCAGCAGCAGCCAGTCATACCCTTTTTTATTTTCCTGTATACTTTCTCCCACAGCTTTTAAGATGTTAAACTTTTGGTTTTAAGTGTTTTGACTATGATGTCAGTTGGTATGGCATTAATACAAGTCCTAGTTGGGGATAATTAGTGAGCTCTTAATCTTTAAATTTATTTCTTTACCAAGTTTTGGACCCCTTTCCTCCTTCTTTTTTTACTGAGGCTTAAACCCAGAGCCTTCTCACTAAACTATATCCCCAGCCCTTTTATTTTTTATTTTGAGACACAATCTCACAAACTCCCTAAATTGCCCAGGTAGGTCTTAAATTTGTAGTTCTACTTCCTCAGCTTCCAGAATACTGGGGGGATAACAGTTCTTCAGATATTTTTTTTCTGTTCTCCTTTGACTCTTTAACCACGTATGTATGAGTGTAGTGTCCAACAAATGCTGTTTTTAAACATTTTGTCTCTTTAAATAATTTTCTTTGGTATAACAATACTGTCTGCATTCTGCTGTTAATGCTCAATCAGTGGCATTCTGTATTTCAGAGTGAAATTTTCAGACCTAGATTTTACATCTCTCCTTTCTACCATTTTTATTTCTCTGCTGACATTTCCAATATGTTCTTTTATTGCAAGCATATTTTCCTTTTGCAATTTGAGCATATTTATAATCTCTGCTTTTAAAATCTTGCTGATTCTAGTATCTGTGTTAACTTTACAGTATTCTCTGGTCTTTTTCTTGAGTATAGGTCATTTTATTCATAAAAATTGTATTTTTATCCTACACACTGACAGTCATACTGTATAGACACAGTGGGTTTTGGTGTGTTCTTCTGGAGAATGTTAATAGTGGTTGGGGTGGCGTTAGTGGGTAGTGGTGTTTTACTTACAGAAAATCAACCTAGCTGGACTGAAATCTAAACCATGTTTCCCTGCAGGTGACAGTAGATGACATCTCTGTTCAGGTGTTTTTATCTGGACTGCTTAAGAGTCTTTCCTACTCTTACCTAGACCATGAGCAACTAGAGACGTAGCCAGAATCTATATGCCAAATTTTGGAGATTTTCCTTTGTGCTTATCTTCTAGTATATCCCCTCCTTACATTCCAGCTGCTGTGATATCCTGCAGCTCTGTATTTTCAAGCCAATCAGACAAGTTTTGACCCAAGTTTTAACTGCCCAGGGCAGCTCAGGCTTCCCTCAAGCAAAAGCTGTGAAAACAGAAAACCCACCCAAATCTGTTCTCTTTTTCCAATCTTGTCTACTTTTGGTTGCTCAAGTATCTTCAGTTAGTTGTTTTTATTCTCCCACCCCAAACTCTTCCTTTTGGTTGTCTGAAGCTCAGTATCTAATAGATTCTTTAGGAAGAACTCATGGAGCAGTAGTTGATGTATGCCAATAATAGTGTGTTATAAATCACTAAGTGAATGTATAAACAACTTTGCTCTTATTTTCTTCTCTTGACTGTATTAAATATTTCATTTTCTTCTGGCATAAAGGGTTGCTTGGGAAAAGTTTGATGTTGGCCTTCTCGGTTGATATGAGGTATGTTGTGCTCTTTTTAGTAAGGAGTTTGAACTTTTTTCTTAATTTTCAGATAATTTTTCTTATATAGTTCTATTATTTTCTTAGTACTTTTAAGAAAAAATGTTCATTGTTTCATCTGTTATTTTCTCTCATCTTTTGATTTCAAAAAGTTTTACCTTTTGAGTATATATTAGCATATATATTAGCATATTAACTTTTGTTTCATTCCGGTTTACTCTTCATTTCTGAATTTTATTTTGAATGCTTTTCTGAGTTCTACCTTAATTTTGAATTTTTTGAAATCTGACTTCTGTTATTCTCTTTGCTTGAATCCTTATTGTAATGTCCTTTAGTAATTTTTGAGGTATTAGGTTACTGTTTTCAACCATCATTTTCTGTGGTTTAGATGACTTGTAAGTGAAGGTGGTTTTAGGGGTGGCATTTCTCACAAAACTCCCTCTGGTGTTTGTTTGTGAGGGTTCTCTACTAATAGCCATGTGTCATTTGTTTTCTGAGATTTCTAGGCCTGTTTTGTTCTCTACCTTTATCTGGACATTCCTTTTCCTTTATTGCCATTTAACCTCCCTCTTATGGAAGGGCCCATTTTATGAATTCATAGGGGGTAGACTATTCTGACATCTTAAACTCCTTGCACTTTGTCACAACTTGAAAGGGCAAAACCCTCCCACATACAAGTTCTGTGCTCAAACTGACTACTGGCTTTGCTGAGTACTTTATGCTGATTTGTGAATATCTTGTTCTCGGTACTGGAGATACCAGTTTCTTTCTACTTCTTTCCAGTACAGATAATGATGCCATGTAGGACTTGTGGTGGTTGGTGATTTGTCACCATCTGCTGTTTTTTTTTAAGGGGGAATTTGTGGATGGACATTTTTTATCACCTAGTTTTGTAAATGCTATCTGAGGGGCTTTGATTTACCATGAACATTTTACGTTTTCAAGTTGATAGACTTGCCCTGTTTAGGTTTTCACTTCCAAATTCTCCTTGAATCTTAATCATTTCTAGAGTTTGCAGGTGGACATGGCCAGGACACAGAATCTGTAGGCATGGAGTTGGGTGGAGGTCAGTGTTGCAGCTCCATCATGTCGGCAGGGCATGTGGCTCCACATGGTTGTTGGGTTGCACAGCCCTGTTTGTTCAGCTGGGGTGTGGCTCCCCCAATTACTTTGCTTTCAAAATGGTTTTTAAGAAAATCAGCTGAGGGGCCAGGGAGATAGCTCAGTACAATAAGCACTTGCCTGGCAAGCACAAGGCCTGAGTTCAATCCTGGTTCTAAAAAAAAAAAAATCAGCTGAAGTCAGGCATGGTGGCACATTGAAGTCTGAGACAAGAGTATTACAATTTTGTGATTTAGAGTGTCAAAAGGACAAAACTGAAATAGAGCTGCTGGGAATGTAGTGCAACTGTAAGTGCAAAACCTCTGAGTTGAATGTTTAGTGCCCCTACACTCTGTATCAGCTAATACAACTCAGTTCCTGAGGGGCTGGTGAGATAGCTCAATGGAATAAGCGCTTGCCTGGCAAGTGCAAGGGCCTGAGTTCAGTCCCCGGTTCCACCAAAAAAAAAAAAAAAAAAACAACGCAGTTCCTGAAACAGCAAAACTTTACTGACTCAATAAAGCTTTCCAAGATATTTATGGTATTAAGTACTTAATATTTCTTATTTTTATTTTACTTGGCTTTCTTGAATAAAAGGAATCATGCTTTATTTTCATTTATTAAGATAAACTCTATACTTTGTAAAGTGTTTGTTTTAAATTACTCCTTTGACTTTTTAATATATCTTTAACAGGCCTCAACAAATAATGAAAGCTCTAATCACAGTTTTGGAAGCTTGGGATCTTTAAGTGACAAAGAATCAGAGGTAAGTAATTTTATTTTAGATACGATGCTATTAGAATAAATGCTGGAATCATTTTAAAGTAGAGGTCCTCTGTCTTTCAATACTGGTGCTAAGAGTTAATGATATTAAAGTTTCTTGTAAAAGTATTTTGTTCTGCCTTATGAAGCAAAATATGCAGATTGTAAGACTATTGGTATTAGAAAGAAAATATAATTTCTTTGGTTTTGTAGATAAACATGTACTATATTAGTGATGCATATATATTTTTAATGGAAGATAGTTATTGCCATTTATAATTCTGTCAGATGAAGGTGGTTTATTAAGATACATTATGTTTCAGTTTCTATTATTATTCTTCTACTTCTTCCCTTAATGTGATCCCAAATAAGGATTTCTTTACTTTCTTAAGATACAGATACATAGCTTTTTTCTTCTTGTAGAATTGTATGCATTAATGCTGATTTTCATTTGCATATTTGTAAAAATCTGCCAGATCCTTTACCTACTCACCCACTTACTGGCCCCACCCCAAAATGCATGACATTTTATAAGTAGGCATTTGGATCCATGGTACACAGTTCATTTTAAGCATGGTATACTTAATGGTATCTTTTTAAAGTGGCTAAACAGAATGTCTTTGGGTTTTAGCTTTCATTTGTTGATGCTGTAACTTTATTTTTTGTATATAACCTTTTTCCTGATTTTTATATAGTTCAGTCATTAATTTTTTCCTATTTATGTATGTGTGTGTGTGTGTGTGTTTTCCTTGTCAGAGTTAGCTTATTTCTTTTTGAACCATTTAGTCTTTTTTCTACTTAAGTTAGTATAGATATATCATCTTGATAATACCAGTAGAACATCAGTGCTCAGTAACTCACTTGTGCATTTGGTTTCAGTGTTCAGCAGAAAGAGAAGTTCTAAAGTGGCATCTTTTTAGTTCTTTGTTATTGAAAGCATCTAGGAATCTCTAGGTGGATAGTTCTGTGTAGTTCTGTGCAGTTCTGTGCAGGCACCCTGACCCTCTGAAGGAGTGTGGCAGAGGGTTCTCACTCATCAGGCTTTCCCTTCCACAGAGACAACTGGCAGGCAGCTGAAAGGACCGTGCCAGTGACGGGACTTTATCTGCACTAGGTTCCCTTGAGGTAAGCGTTAGTAGTCTGTGGAACACCAGCTTATGGCAGTTTAGTTTTTTGTTTTTTATTTTTATTTTTTCAAAGTAGCATCTTTAGATACTAGATCTTTAAAATGGTAGGTTTAGCTGTAGTGAAAGTACAGTTTTTAATAACTTCAAGAATGTTTTTGCTTTGTATTTCTTAGATTTTAGAAGATTTGATACTTTCTAAAGAAGTATATTCAGTAATTTTTTTCATAGCCTTTTTGTGTTTTGAAGGACAATAAAATAATTTTAAATAGTTTCTGTTCACCAAATATGGTATTTTTGATAAATTTTTTAAGACTAGCAAGATGTAGTAAAAAACCACCTAGCTCAGATATGTCTGTGTTCCTTGTAGGTACCTGTATTTCAGTATAAGTAACAGATTTAGTATTTAGATACATGTAGAGGAATTAGTCTATAAGAACATTCCCCTTGCTTACATTTCTAGTTAAAATGTTGCTGTTTTGTTTTTGTTTTAGATAAGTGTGCAGTAAATCACAGTTTGGTTAGCCATTAGATGTACACAGAAGTTTGAGGCAAAAATACAAAATCTTTATTTTTGCTGTCCTATATTCTATATCTTGGATTTTTACAAATTAATAGATAAACTTTGTGACACAGTAATTGTTACTATAGATTGTACATTTTCCTTAATATTCAAAGAAGTGGCTTTTTTGTTATTATTACTGTTTTGATTTGTCTTTCCATGTAAGAAGTTAAAACAAATCTTACATTTTAGCTGTGTAGGAGGTACCTTCATGAATAAATTCTATTGAGGAAAGATTTCATACATACGGAATTATAGCTATTCATACATCATTAAAATGGTTGGAAATAAACTGTTGAAAAAGTACTACTTTTTTTCTGGTACATGTGAGGATGACATTTATCTAGTATTCCACTATTTTTTAAAAATAATTTTATTGAGAAACAAAGAGCAATGAGATAGTTTCACAACCAATCTCTAGCACATTTTCAATAATTAATACATTGCATATTGTTGTCTTAGTGCTTATTCATTGTACAAGATGCAGACATGATATCCTGTCTCAAATACTATTAGAACAAACCTCTCTATTCATTGAATTAAGAGAATGGAGCTGTATATCTCTCCTAACTATTTTGAGTATACACATACAAAATGGTCGTTCATTTCTATCCCACCTTTTTGGTTAGTTTTGTCAGAGAAGGGTATTCCATTGTCATTTAAATACTGTAGGTGCATGAGTTCAGCAAAATATCCCAGTATAGTCCAGTAGCCCATAATGGTAGTGGGTTTTCTGTAAGATTGGCAGTGTCCGAAGTTGTTGACTTGAGCCTTTTCCAACTCAGCATATTAATATGGCTTTATTTTTTGTACTTCGTTTTCATACTTTTCTGCTGGATGGTTAAGACCAAAATAAAGCAAGACCTATATAACAAGAAATGTAACTTTTGTATCTGATAAGGTCAGTCAAATCCCCTCAGGATTTATCCTCAAACCCTGTACCGCAGTTTGTAGATCCTTTGTTAGTGTCAGCCATGTGGATCAATCACGGCCATTGCTTGACCAATTTGCTCTCTGTGAAAGCCTGAGAATGTTTTCTCTCCATGTGACTCTCCTTAGGCACACTCTACATCATCGTTCATTTTCCTCTGTGGCCCCATAATCTCCTTGATCAGAAAATTTGGGATACGACTGAGTTACATGATGTTATAGTACAGGTTCTCCTATATCCTGAGTCTTCACTGACCTTGAAAGGCTAGGGACAAAATGTTGGCTGTTTTGCAGCCATTCTTTTTCTCTAATTTTTGGTCTGCAAACTTAAGTTATTAACCTTCCAGAAGAGAGGCTTATTATTATTACCCTACAACATAGGCAGTTGAGCTTAACCTCACTATCTGTCTGGATATCAAACATCTTAGACGTAACAGGGAACAGGTATCTTCCCTCAAGTGTTGATATGTTAAACTTTGAGTCCCTCCAGAGTCCACTATTTTTAATATGCCACTCTTTTGGTAATACTTTTCCTAGAGTTTTTAAACATTGGTTTTTTATGATAATTTTCAGAACCAAATAATGAGATGATTACATTGTACATCATTATCTTTAAAGTACTCAATATAAAATGTAAACCAAACAGATTCTTAAAAAGAGAAACTGATAAAAAGAAAAAGAGAGAAACTAATAACAAACTTAAGATAAATTATTTTACTTTTGTTTTTGTTCACAAGTAGTACTAGAATGTGTTTTCTTTTAAAGAGCTGCTCCTACCATTCACCTATACCCCACCTTCAGTTCTTTTGGATTTTCTTCCTGGTCTTTATTGCTATATTACAAGATAAATAATATGTATACTTTATTATGATTTATCATTTGAACATTATCTGTTGACTTTTAGGATTTCATGTGATTTTAGTTTATTCAAGTTCACTTTCTCTATGATAAGTCCTTCTACCGATACTCTGATTCAGAAACCCAGGATCATCCTATTTTTTTTTTCCTGTTTTCCTTAAAGTTGGAAAACATCTGACAGTCACTGTTGGGGCAATAGAATCATTTTATATATGAATTACTTTGTAATATATGAATTTGACTTATTCTAAATGTAGAATTGTAGAATGAAAAAGTTCCTCTTGTTAATGAAACTTCTTGGCATGTAGGACGTTACTGGTTTTATTTTATTTTACATTACTCTAGGTGTCTTAAAGCAGGCTCCAGAAATTCACTATTATTTCCAGTAAGCATTTATTGCATATCTGTTATGTTCTAATCTATGTGTCTAACATAGACTATAAATATAAGTAGGGTACACTTTCTGCCTTCAAATGAGATCAATGGCTAGTAGGGAAGACAGACTTTAGATACTTTACCTCATGGACAGTGTGGGCTGTGCAGTGACAGATACAAATAGGCACAGTAGAGTATGAAAGCAAGGAGTAAGCGCACACAGTTTCATCTGCCTATTGGGGAAAGTAGGCAAAGATGTCTCTTTACCTCCAAAACAGAGATGGTATTTGTGCTGTTAGGAAAGCCTGTGTATAACTTCATCGCAGGGGACAAGGATAAAGTATAAGAAGGTGGTAGGCAAAGGAACTAGAGTATTGTTTACTTTTGTATAGAAGCATAGAAAGTAATTTGGGAGGCCTGCCCCTTAGCTCAGTTCTTTAAGTGGCTGCTTCAATAAAGCAGTCAGGCTCAGGTTGCTGCGGTTCGATCCCCACAACTCAAGCCAGCCAAACCTGCCCTGACGGCATTTGGAGAAAAAAAAAAAAGTAATTTGGTTATAGATATAGAACAGTGATCCTTGGCCCCCAATACACTTTGGATGACGTGAGAAGCTTTGCAAAATACTAAGCTGCCTCAGTGCATAGTTTGAAAACTTGTGGTATAATACAGGAATGGTAAAAAATAGGCTGCTGTCTGGTTTTGAAGATCTTTATTTCTATAGTAAGGAATCTGCAGTTTAAATGATGGAGAGCCATGGAAGCAGGGAAAACAGGAAATTATAAAAGGCTCCCACTAGTAGCAGCATGAAGGATAGGATTTGAGGGAGTCAAAACCTGAGTTAGGGAGGTCACTTTGTGAAAGGGTACTGCCTGCTTTATAGAGCTCTAAGCCTTCAAGACAATATTAGAGTGGAAAAACTTGGGCAGAGGTTCTAATTACACTGTTTTCATGTTTGATTTTTGGACCCTGCTTTCTCCTACCAGGTTCTCTGACGTTATTGAGAAGTTACTGAGACTCTCACTATCTGGGACCATGCATGTTTTTCAAACTTCACTGTGCAAAAGACTTATGGTGTCCATATGCCATTAGGTCTGCATAGGTGTTTGTATTTCTCACAAGCTCCCACATTCCAGTAGCTTTTAAAAGTAGAACCTATAGGGTTTGAAGACTTTGAATTAGCATAAAGAAGGAAAGAAACCAGGCATGGTAGTACATACCAGTAGTCCTTATGATCTGGAAGGCTGAAGAAGGAAGATCCCAAGTTTTGAGGCTGTCTGGGACAGTTTGGCAACTTAGTAAGACTCTCTCTCAAAATAAAAAGTTTTAAAAAAGACTGGTATACTGTTCAGTACAAATGCCCTAGGTTCAATCCTTAATACCATAAAAATATTAAAAAGCGTGAGTGGGAATAAATAACAGGAATATATAGTGATTTAAAAGTAGCTGGGTAAACTGAAAAGCACTTAGGTTTAGTGCCTTTTACTGAGATAGGCAACACAACAGATTCTGCAGATAGGTTAATGAGTTGAATTCTGGGTAATATTGAGTTTGAATCTCTGTGAAATGAACAAGTAGAGGCTTGAAAAGCTGTCTACAGTTTAGAAAAAGCTCATACTGGACTTGAAAACTTAGGTGTCTTGGGTGTAGACAGAATCTTGATTGTCGAGGGAAAAAACCACACCCTAGAGTTGAACAGACTTGATGATAGTGTATGCACAAAGATTGTAGAGGGCTGTGGTGAAGACAGAATTCCTGAAGAAAGAAGAATAGGTAGCAACGAACTAAACATCTTAGTCGTAGATAGGACTAGAAACATTCTTTACCCAAATTGAAGCTAGGTAAATAGATTTGATTTTCTGATAACCTTTTTGCCTACTTTATAACATAATATCTTTCTATATTAAAAGGAAAGAAGTATGAATGAATTGTGGATTTGAGGAATGACTGAATTTTATGGGAGGGACAGGGAAGAGAATTTGCCGGAAGTAT